CAGGCATCTGGCTCCCCTGTTCGACAACCCCAAGTTGGATAAGGAGCTGCGGGCAATGCTGAGGGAGAAGTTCCCTGAGTTCTGCAGCTCACCCAGCCCTCCTGTGGAAGGTATGGAACCCTCCCTTCCGTCACCTGTTAGAGACGCCCAGGGCTCTCAGCCATCTAGGGTGTCTCCCCAGTGCGGGTCTCCACCTCTGTGACTGTCCGGTTCAGGTTCTCCTTCCCCACTTTCTCTTTTGATGTGTTTATGTGTTGTCTTCTCTGGCTCTCCGTCTGTCTCATCCTCCCTGACTCTTGCTGACCTCTCTTGCTCCTCAGCTCCTGTTTCTTCTCTTACTAAATAGCCTCCCCTCCCCCTCCACAGGGAAGGCTTTGGTGGGATGTGTGTCTGCCTCCCCTCTCTCTGCGCCCCGGCCCCTGAGGCGAGGGGTCATGTTGGGTCTCAGGTCTTGCTCCCAGTTACACACGCACACACCCTTTTGTGTTTGGGGGTGAGGCTGAAGCCAAGCAGAGCTTTTCAACTCGGTTTTGAAGCAAAGAGCCCTTGGGACTGTCCCTGGGTCTCACCTATTTGCCAACACGAGCTAAGCACAGCAGTCTCTTCCCTTGCCATTCTTGCTCCTGGCAGAAACCCCTGCACATCGTGGAAGGTCGTGGGGACACGAGGGTGTCCTTCCAGGGTCTGTCATGCCCTCAGGTCATGAACTCCCTGTAAGCCCACCTGCTCCCCGGCCTCCCCTTTCCAGGGTGTCAGCCACGTTAGGTCACAGGATGCCTTGTTTCTTTCCTCCCAAGTCAAACTTGAGGAGCCGGTTTCCGTGGAAATGGACAACCACATGTCAGACAAGGATGAGGGTTGCTACGACAACGCGGAGGCAGCCTTCAGTGACGACGAGGAGGACCTCAGCAGCAGAGGTGCGTGCAACAGCGAAGGGGCTTGGGTGGTGTCGGCCCCGAGGGGACCAGGTGGCAGGAGCGGCCTGGCCTCTGTGGACTTGGCCCCCAGGTTAGTTGTGTTAGCAGGGTTACTAGACGGGACTCCAGGGCACGGAGCCCTGCCCTTGTTTGCTCCGGAGCCTGGGTGTGCCCACGTGCAGGGAGCGACGCTGCGGGCCCCCTGCACACCCGGCGTGTGGGGCTGTCCCTGTGGCTGGTGTCTGGGCAAATGGCTGCTTTCGTGAATTCCTCCCTCCAGGAAAGAAGAGGGAGTTCCGCTTCCATCCTATCAAGGAGACTGTCGTGGAGGAGCCGGTGGATATCACCCCGTATCTTGACCAACTGGATGAGTCCTTAAGGGACAAAGTGCTCCAGCTCCAGAAGGGGAGGTGGGTGCAGGTCCTGTCCTCAGGCTCGGGAGGCCGAGCCCCAGCCTCCCCCCTGGTACTGAGTGGGGTGCCCGGGCGTGGGGTGGGGGCAGCGGGGGCTCCGGGGGTGTGCCTTCTGCTGTTAGGTTGTGAGGTTCCTCGTTCCCCAGCACCTGTTTCTCGCTTCATGGTTTTGTTTTTGTTTTTTTTAATTTTTTTAATGTTTATTTATTTTTGAGA